GGGGGGAGGGGGGAAGCACACGTCAGCAGGACAGAAGGGTGTGAGGGCTTCTGGTGGTGGAGGGGGGAAAAGGGGAGACCGAGGCAGAGGGGGGCCCTCGGGGGAATCTGCTAAAGGCGGGGGAGGGGGAAGAAAAGGAGACTTGTCTGCAGGGCACGGAGACGGGAGAGACGGGAGAGGAGGAAGAGCAGGGAGCGGGGCCGGCACCGTGTCTGGCCTCTTCGCAGTCCCGCTTCCCTCTGTGGACGTGTTCGAGGACAGGGACGTGGACGACGAGGAGATGGACACCGAGGACACCAGGGAGGACTTCCTTTCTGGGACCTTGGGCTTGGCCTTCCCCTTCCCGTTGGCTGGTGACATTGATTTTAAAAACACAGGCACAGGGGTGAGGGCTGTGGGTGTATTCGACTGGCTGGAATACCCACTGGACGGAGAAGTGACTCTATGGGACTTCTCCGGGGAGGTGATCTTTGGTTTGACTGAGCCGCCAGGCACCTGGGGCACGGCGGCCCTGGAGCCCTCCTGGACGTGGCGGACCGGCCCGTTTCCAGTTGGAGCCCCATTGCTGGCCGAACAGCCCCCGCCAGCGTTCCCAGCGTCTTCTTGCAGGCCCGTGTAGTCAATGTAGTAACCCCAAGGGTCCGTGTACTCGGACTTGACACTGCTCGTGTCGCTCTGCGACGGGGTGACCCCGCACAGGGAGTGGACGTTGGGCGTGGTGGCCGACGTCAGGCTGCTGCCCCCGCTCACGGTGCTCTGGCTGCGGGAGCGGGGCAGCCAGGGCTCCTCCGGGTCGCTGCAGGGGCTCTGGGAGGGCGACAGGCCGCCCTTGCCAGGGAGGTTCAGCTGCAGCGAGTGCTGGAGCGAGGCGATGAGGCTCTCGTTTAGCACCTGCCCATTGGTCTGGGCATTCTTCTTGGGGATCCTGCGCAGAGAGTCCGTCCGAGAAGGTGGCAGCGGAGGCTTCTTTGCTTTCTTCAAAGAGATGTTTCGAGAAAGGGTTTTTTCAAGGCCATTGGACTGGTCCCCTTGGTTCTTCTGAGTTCTTCCATCAAAAACATTGACCACGCTGTGCCTGGGGTTCCCAAAGCCGTTGCTGCTTCTGCACAGATTCCTGGACCTGTGTCCGGCATCAGGGTAAATAGATGTGTAGTAGCCATCGTGGTCCTCCGAATACAGGGACCTGGCGTCATCTTTGTTGGACGTCTGGTCCAAACTGCTGCTGCTCACGTTACTTACAGGAGTGGAGCAACCAGGAGTTGCCAAATGAGGCTTCAGTGGGGATGCCCGCCCACTCCCCGAGGCACTGTATTCCCAGGGCTCCACGCTGCTGTGCCCCCTGCCTCCTGAGTAGCTGGACTCACTCTTGCCATCCACATCCTGGGGGTGGGCGGGGAAGCTCAGGTTCTTTCTACAGTTGTAGGTCATGGCTTGGGCTCCCCTCTCCTGATGTGCTGGGGTACTGAGAGAGACTGCTGAATCACAGAGGGACAAGAGCATGGCTGCACCGGGTGGATGGGGCTCTAAAGCCCGTGAAACAATGGTGGGGTGACCCTCACTCCAGGTGCCATTGGGAGACTGATGGTCATCTTCACCGGAGCGTCTGGGGAGGAGGTGGCCTCTGGATTTCATCTTCGTGTGTGAGGAGGAGCTGCTAATTTTACTGTCCAGCTGCCCTGAACTCTGAGCAGTATGAATAACAATAACCTCCGAGGAGGAGGAGAGGGTGGCATTGGGGATGATGCTGGTGGAGTAGGTCCCATGAGGAGACACCACACGTGCTGGGCTTGTTCTGTTTTCACTCTCAAAGTGCCTCAGCTCCTGGGACTTGGGCCTTAACAGTGTTCCAGTCCTTGAGGCACTTCCTAAGTTTTCATCTGCCTGTGGGTTACCCCTCTGGTAGGGGAACGGGCCATCCAGGTCTTCTGCAGGGCCCAGGGTACCCAGCCGGGGATCGAGGGACTGAATGCTGGCCCTGGCTCCGGAGCGGGGAAGACTGTGGAAACCGGCATCGCTGTTGAGGCGAGAGGGGAACACAATGCCGGCAGAATCGCTCAGCACAGACATGTTCCCGGAGGAGCCGGAGAAGTGGCTCATCTGGGCAGCGATGCCCTGCCCCTTCTGTGCCCTGATTCTCCTCATGGAAGGCGGCACGACTTTCACTTCCTCAGTCTGACAGCTGGAGTCCCTGGTTTCGAAGTGCTGCCCAACAGACCGATAGCAGTCAAGCCTTCCTAGTGTCGAGTAGCAGTCTGGAGAGTACACCGAGTGACCACCAACACCATCTTGGCTGGGGCCCGATGCTGGAGACAAAGGAGAAAGAGGCTTGTTACCTAAAACACAGTATCTTAGTTCATCACCTCCTTCTGACTCTGTCATACTTGAAAAAGACAAAAACTTCTCTATTTGATCTAGTTTTTCTCCTGGAGACACCTAAGTGAGAGTTTATATAGTTACCAATAGCTCCTAAAATAAAAACCCTTATTATGAACTTCATGTACTTCTCTTAATTTGTACTTCAGATTCTCCTATAGATTACGTGCTGCATATGGAATTCTTATTCAGCCTTTGAGATAAAGGCTGAGAGCTCGGTGGAAGGTTTACTTTTCAAGTAACCTCCTTTCAGTGACAGTTTCAAGGTAGCCCGTCATCTACCAGGTGCCTGCCCAGGGCATCTGTCAAGCAGGACCTGTCTTTCCCAAAGACAAATAGATGAATGTAATAGTTCAACAATAGGGCTACAAAGATACCGTTTATGAAGGATATTGGTATAAAACAGTGTTAATTACATTAATTTCTATGTTAGAAGAAAACCCTAAGAAAAAGAAAACCGATTTACAGGCCCATCTGTGTTTCAAACATTTCATTATCCATCTCAAGCCATTATCATCTGTCTGTCAGTGACATTCAAAATTCAACAGCAATCTGTTGTGTTCTGCTGGAAAAAAAGCAGCAGGAACTGATCCAGTGAGCGTTTCCTCAAATTAGGGCTATTCATTTCTTGGAGCTTTACCTCTAAACCAAGAGTAGTATGTTTAACAAAGTAAAAAGCACAAGGAAGGCCAAACGGAGAGGGAAGTGGACAAGAAAACACATTAAGTGTAGATAACAGTTAGATTTCAAGCTACCTAGGAAAGAACAGAAGCTTAAAAAAAAAAATCATGAAGGCAAGAACTTACCTAAAATGTACAGAGAGAAAAAATCAATTTATGCGGAGTAATCATTAGGACAAATTAAGTGTTGAAAATCAGTAGCAAAACCACAGTTCTCTTTACATTGTTATCCAAAAAGGACCTGAGAATAGCTGCAGCCTGGGCTTGGCTGAGCGATACTAGCTGAGCACCCACCAGCATCACTGTTCCCCCGACAAGGACACTGGTGATAGGATTCAGGAGCACTCCTTCCACACCCCACGAAAGTCCCCAGCTGGATCTAAAGCCTTGTGATCCTCCAAATAGCAAAGCACTTTACTAAAATGGCAGCACCATTCTTGGTACAAACCACAAGGAGATGTCACCTGTGGAGGAAGGCGCCCCAGCACAAAACCCTTCCCTTCACTGGGATGATGGAGAATCATTGTTATTTCCTTCCCCTCCCCCCCGCCAAGTACCCACTCACTAAAGGCACACACACACACACAAACTCACACATGCACACTCACACATACACGCACAGACACACGAGGTTCTCCCTTGGAAAGAGTGGGAGTAGGCAAAAGGGCAGGAGCAGAAGAAAAATCCACTTTGAGGAAAGAGAAATAAAAGGTGCACATTTTACCATTTGGTACAAGTTTGGAAGGTGGGAGGCTCACTTGCATGGCTGTATCAGTTTGCACCAGTTTGGTGCCAAACATTCAAGATACCTTATTCCACTCAACAATGGGTTTTACTATCTTTTTCTTTCAAAACTGTAGTAGTTTTTGCATGGGGCCAATGGTAATGTTTAACTCTCTCTACGGGCCATAAACAACGTCCTGATTCTTTCAGGTAGCAATTTTGAAGGTGAAACAATCCTTGGCTTCTGAAAATGGGAATATAGCCATTCCTTCACCATCTACAGCCCAGTACAACTTTCTTATTAAAATAAAAATATTTTTCTAAAGACCTTTTAAAATGGGAAAACTCATATATCATTTAACACAGGGACCAACAACATTCTATTCCCAAAACATATTCTCCAATATTTTCACAGTACAAAACATGTCACAGTATTACAGATACAGAGGCTAAATTGATTAGAATTAAAGAATAAAAGCACATACAAAAAGAGAACTACAAACAAGGATGAGCCACTCAGATGCTCGTAAAAATCTGGATGGGATTATGCGATTTAAAAATATAATGTAAAGAAATAATTATGTATATTTTTCTTTTACTTATTTATAACACTACAAGAGATTTTCAATTTTTAAAGACTACATGTAATCAAAGACAGAAATCTACAAGTTTTATATTTAAGGTTTACATAGCATTTTTTTAAAAGTCTTATCAGCACTTGTAACTAATATATTATTGTTTGTCAAATATAATTTAAAAATATATTTTAAAAAGTCTTGGTAGGCTCTGGCCGCTGTGGCTCATTTGATAGGAGCATCGTCCTGTGCACAGAAAGGTCAACCGTACCCAGGTTGTGGCTCGATCCCTGGTAGGGGCGTGTTCGGGAGGCAGCAATCTCTCCCACTTTGATGTTTCTCTCTCTCTCTCTCTCAAATCAATAAAAACATATTTATAAAAGCCTTGCCCTGGCCAGTGTGGCTCAGTGTTTAGAGAGTCAGCCTGTGCACTGAAGGGTCTCAGGTTTGACTCCTGGTCAAGGGCACATACCTGGGTTGCAGGTTCACTCCCAGCCCCTGGCTACGGTGCATGCGCGAGGCAATCAATTGATGTGTCTCTCTCACATCGATGTTTCTCTCTCTCTCTCTCTCTCTCTTTCTCTCTCTCCCCCTCTCTCTAAAAAGGCAATGGAAAAAATACCCTCATGTGAAGATTAACAAAAAAAAGCAAAAAAAAAACGAGAGAAATAAATGTGATCTCTAGGGGCTCAAACATCCATTTAGAAAATATTAAAATTATAAAAGATATGATTTACCAAGCTGACCAGATCATTCCAATAAGGTCAAAGAGGCAACTGAGTGATTGGTTCCATGCTGGTTGGCTCAGTAATAAGTGATAAATGTTCATAATTCTGAGGTTCTAGAACTCATATTACATACATATATGGATAATTCATATTGAATACTTCTGTGTATGTGTATCTTTATCTAGGCCAAGCTATTCTTACACTCTCTGCACAAAGCCATCCAAAACCTACCTATTTTGGTTGGAAAGCCGATTAAAATGTAGCCTACTCTTGAAACATCCACCTTGTCATCTCACAAAAGGCCTATCTTTACAGTCACTCCTTTTGGTTAAGGCACTTCTTCTAAAAGACCAGCTCAAATATAAATGTTACCTGAGTGCTGTAAGAGATGAAGCCATTAAACATCTACTGAACATACACATACATATTAGTTTTTCAAATTAGTTAGCTGTCATCTAAAGGAGAAAAAAAAAAGAGTCTGAAAGAACAGGATACAGGAGGACTGGCCACTAAAAAAAGCAGCATGTGGGATGGGGGCATGAACCAAAGACAGACTTCACAATCCTGTGGATGTAATCTCGCCTTTGTGATAAACCCCTATGTTACGGGATGAGGTGAGCACCTGTGCGTCCTCCGGGTCGCTGGAGCTACCTAGAGCAGAAGCAAAGCACTGCTATTCTTGTCTCGCTGCTGCAGTCTGGAAGGCAGAGCATCCATACTGTAGAATCGAGTGGCAGTAAAAGAGCAAATGCCAAGGAAAGAAGAGGGAGCAGAGGTGTCGGGAAAAACACATAGGAGCAGTGTCTATAGCACCTGGAAGCTGAAACGCTACCTCAGAGTGCTATGATGGGTATATCACTATTGCTGGGATACACTCATTTTAACTAAAAGACGAATATGCAAGTACAGAAATAAAGATTCTGAATTTCTACAGTATAACCTTTAATGTAAGTAAAAGTAAAAACATCAGGTGAAAGTAACTAGAATGAAATAAGTCCATAGGTTGGCTGAAGAGAAAGGCAAATTTCAAAAAAGGCAGTATTAAGTTCCCCACAATAATTACATCAGCGGCTATTATGGTCATCGTAGTATCAGGCACCGAGGGCTTCCCCTGTATTAACTCATTAAATCCAAACCACCCTCCCCTGAATGAGGAAGAGACTCAGAGGGGTGAAGTAAGAAAGCAACCAGCTGGAGGGCACCCAGAGAGTCGGTGGCAGAGCCAGGATGCAGGTCTGAGCCGCCTGGCCCCGGGGTCCCCGCGGCTGCAGTCTGCTGCACCGCCTCTGCAGACCCTCCCGACGGCCCATTAAACCCAGAGAGGAAGTGCACGCAGAAAGAGGGGAGTGAAGAGATTGTCCGCAGTCCAGATAAAGATGAGAGAAACGAGTGGATAAGGGAGGAATGAAGCAAACCCTGTCCACTAGCCCAAAAAAAGGGGGTTTTTTTGGTTTTCCGTTTTTATCACAGGTGGAAAATTACTGACTCAAAAAGCTACGAAGTTGTTTCATTCATTGGAAGTACATAAATGCACTAGCCAACATAAATGACTATTTCCTACCATACTGTAGTTACTGATTACCTCACACTGCTGTCTCTTTGATGACAAATGCCACTAATGTTGTCAGTAAAATTAATGACGTCCATATTTGTAACTTGAAGTCCTGGAAGGAGTTTTCAGTTTTATGAAAACTTAAAATCTAAATGAAAACTAAATTTAATTGTGACAATTCCCCACTGTTCAAGGCACACAGAGATGGTGGCACCACTGTGAATTTCTACCATCCCAGTTACTAGTTTTGATATAAACGTCTCCTCTTACCTTCTCACCGAAATTCAATGTATCATCTGCATGGGCTGTTAAGATTTGCACACAGTGCCTCATTCAGAAAAGAAGCTGGCCCTTTGGGGCACCAAATGGCTATCAGAATGTATCGATTTCACAAGCACCACAGATGAGGTTAGCATAGGAATGCTGAGCAGCAACGAGGGGCAACAGAATACAGTTCTGATGAGCCATACCTAGCTCCTTCTGTATGTTGTCAGGGACTCCTGTAATAGTCTTTCTCCTTTTGACTTTCTTCGGTCGTCTTACCAGAGTGTCTGTGTAAATTAGAGACCGCCGCAGGCTGGCCTGGCGATCGAAATTCTCCCCTAATGCAGAGTAGTAGAACAAGCAAAGCAATGTTATTGTCAAGCAAGCTGACACCATGCACTTTCTTCCAGAAGCTTGTTGTCAAATGATAAGAAGGTATTAATAATGATGTTAGCCAGTCATATGATGATGAATGAATGCTGAAGGGCAAAAAAGGGAGGGAAAGCACATTATCATTATAAGGCTCTTTTCCAATTTCTATGTGTGTGTCCTTCCAAAGGAAGCACCTGGATCTCATTTTCAAATGAGCTGGAGTGGAAAATGCAAATTTGTTAACAACACGCCAGAAGAGCAATTCTGCATTATTTTAAACATGAGTCATTCTGGAAGGGTTTCATGTAGGTCCTCTGGTCACCGATATCACTCTTTACATCAGGGTGTATGTGATGATGGCAATAAATGTATCTTAATCATTTAGTCAGCTCCAGAGACCATCACAATGTCGTGTCCTATGTGATGAAACAAATAACTTAGTCAAGAATTCTTAGATGAAGAGCTTTTCCTTCCAATCAAGGAGACTGTGGACAGGCTGTGGAAATCGCTGTGGTGCGAGATACAACCATACTGAAAAATACAAAGCCTTATAATGATGAAGTACTTTCTCACAATGAGACCCAGTAGCACTGCTGCTGTTAAAGCTGAACTGCTTCTTTAGTTCATAGTCACTTGCAACAGTTGACTGAATTCAGACATTTCAGGTAATGCTGCAACCAAACCCCAAATGTCAGATCCACAGGACTTTTTTTCTTTCTAAAGTGTGAACTTGTGTGATTGATACACAACAGGGAAACATTAAAAAATAAAGTAGCCGGTTTAGATTCATCTGTTTTAAATTACTTGCCAGTTTAATTAAAGAAAGTTTTATAGCACTGACCTTGTCAAATGGTTACCTCCACAAAAAGAGATTTTTAAAAATACATTATATATTTAAAAAATACACAAATTATATATTTTTGTCATTCTTATAAGTATAAAAACATTCACTCTTTTTAGCAATACTGACACACATTCAAAGTGGGTATGCTATGAATAACGTTCTTTCTGTTTTAATAGGAGTAAGTTGTAAATAGAACCTTATCCAATCAAAACAGAGGATAAGAGATTTGAATGATCAAAATACATTTCACCTACTAAGGAACAAACTTCAATAAATACTCCCAAACTTGAAAATGCTTCCAATTTTGTTCCTAATGAAGGAAAACAGAAACGATTGGGAGAAGACCCTGAAACACAGAAAGTACCATCCCTGTAATAAATGGGTCACTGTGCATAGCATATGTGATGTTTGTAAGAGGCAAGTCATGCTTTCCACGGTCCATTAGTTCCCTGCAGCAGAGGGAAAAATTTCCTTGTATCAAGGCATTAAGAATGGATAAAACATTGATAGTTGAATTTAGTCTCCAGTTTTGCTTCCTAAACAAGAACAAAAGAAACCATTCAAGCTCCAAGGAAATTAAGAAATAAACCACGAGAACGGACACCACCATTAAAGGTGCCAGCTCTCCACCCTGCACTGTTACCTAAAGGACTATGTCCCCTGCTGGACTATACATTTCCTGAAGGTAGGGACCATGATTTATGTACCTTAGCATTCCCTGGAGCACTCAGCTCAATGCCCAACACAAAGTAGCTATTCAGTAAATATCTGCTAAATTGAGAGGAATCCAATCATTCTCTTTCACTGAAAACTGGCATTAGTCAGTCAAGGTTACTACTTAGAAATCAATTTTACTGGCTCAAACATCAATACCAAGCCAGTTGGTAGAAACTGTTTAAGTATGTCTACCCACTCTTATTTTCCAGGTGGAAGGGTTGTTATTCCACATGGCAGATTATGAAACATAATGTCATATATACATTTTATTTTCAACATTTTTTTCTCTTCAAAATTTAGAACACGCTGAGTCCCCAAAGAACTATGACTAAAGGGGTTAAATTGATTTTCAGGCTTGCTGCTCACTGTGCTGCTAATGTTCTACCTTTATGCCTGGCGGGCTTCACTTTGGATTTGAAATAATGTATTTGTCGGCACTTTCTCCCCAGCTGAACCTTACTGAAAATCAAACTAGAGGGTCAATGTTTGCCCAAATAAATGAGCACATGACAATTCCCTACAGGAAGCTACATTTTATCTCAAAAGTTGTGGGGCTTTAGAAAATGTCATTTAAATAGTATGAAGCTGTCCAACCTGTGTCAATTCAACTACTAAAAGTGAAAAATCTCCATTTCTAAAAACATTAATCACTCAAGTAAAAGTAACTTGCATTCTGATATAACTCATATTGCTCATTTTTTTTACTATCATTTACCTTTCCTGTGTGCATTTTGAAGGCCTCCTTTTAAACTTTATGTAATTCATATCCACCTACTCATCAAACAGGAGAGAATTAAAGCTCAAAGAAAGGACACTGTCTACCACTGTGACAATGTATTTCATTGTAAATAATTCATTACTCCTAAAATTCTAGTTACTCTATTTTAAATTTACTAATCTCATGATAATGCATTTTATCCTAATTCCATTAAGGACTATCATATTTCATAGCACAATCTTTTTATATTATTCCTGGGGCATTTAATCATATATAATTACATTTCTGCTGCATTTAATCAATCAAGTAATGTAATGCATTTTTCTTATAGAAAATATGCACCTATGTACTTCATTGAGCAAAAAACATTATACTTTGCTCTCCAGCATAGCTGCTTATAAAAATAATCTTTAAAAAAATATGATCTAAGTGAACAGAATCACATTCAGAAAGATCAATGATGTTATCTGCAAAGAACATGGACTAAAATGCCATGATATTCCTCCTTTAAGGCTTATGCACAATAAATATGGAAAAATGCACATGGAATTTAAAATAATTTATGTGCTTATTAAATTTCTCTGGAATTCAAAATAGAGTTCTAAAAATAATTTTTTAAACATAAGGTTTTTAAAATTCTCCAATAACTATCAAAATATTATTAGTCCCTTAAAAGTTAACTAATGCCATGGCCAAAAGCCTTCTAATGTCAACAGCAGTCTTCTCAGAAGCACAACAAGTGTGCTATGGGGTTTCCTCCTAATTTTTAATGAAAAGTCATCCTTACTGGTCACCTGATTTCTTTCAGGTTCTAGCCCCATAGGCCATGCTTTGTATGGCCTGGTTATCAATGACGGTGATCAGTAATCGATTTCTTGCAAACACACAGTCCAATGGCTGAAGCTATTAGCTCGTAACACGTGTATTTTGCAGTGTACATGCCCCAAACCACTGACCTACCCTGTCTGCAGACTACTAACGTAATAAAACTGGAAAATTTTGATATTTTTTAACAGCTCATCTAAGTTAGTGAAATAGCGTCTTTGAGCTTCATGTACCTTGTTATTTGTCACCTTTAGTTATCACAGGTGATTAAAGCTTGGGTATAATGCTCTAAAAGAACTTGAATTTCACATTTGGTAACTAATATTCATATTCTAAAATTTTATATTCAGAAGAAATGAATTTCTATTTGAAGATTGTAAAATTCAAATTATAAAGATCAAAATAAAACTTTACCATCCAATTGAGTTTTCTTAAAAATATATTTTATAGTTATTATTGCTAATTCACTTCATATTTTTATTTCAAGTAATTTTTCCCTTTTTAACTTGAGAAAACAAGAAGGTAAAATCTATCATTAAGAAATATCACAAACTTGTTATTTCTTGACTTTTATAAATATTACTTAAAATACACCTTTAGAAGATAAACATAATTTTTTCTTATCCAAGATCACATTTAGAAGATGTCCCCATATAATCAAAATATTTTTAAAAAGTAAATCAATTTAAAAAGACACACTTTCAATAAATGGCTGGACTGCTGAGTCCTCTGACATCAACCTCTGGTGACACAGTCTTCTAATTTAAAAGCAACAGCTATTTTACATGTACACATGTATGTATGTTTTAGTATCCCCTTCATTAAACAAAGACCAGGAAGCCAGACCACAGCTATGACCTCTGATGTATAAATGAAATGCTAAGTGCACACAACAACAACAATGACGACGACAAAAAGCCACAGTCACGCTCCCCAGTGGGCTCTGAACCCTGTGTGCTAGCAAAGCATACCGGTTATGTTGATGGGAACCACATCAGCCTGGACAGTCTGCGCCTGCTGGCGCATCTTCTCTTCTGGTGTTGGCAAGGGAAGTGACTTGGCCCAGTTCGTTTGAGTGTTAAGATCAGGGAAGTCACCTGAGGTTGGCGTTTTAGGTCTCCTGATGGAAATAAGTCTTTCCTCTTCCAACGAAGAGAGAGAACACTGCAGGGAAGAAGAAGCCACAGTGTGTAAAGAGCCGACAGAAACATTTGAAAATACATTTCTTTTAAAAAAATTTAAACTGATTTGAAGCAAGCGAAAAAAACAAACTGGTCACGTTTAGGAACAGAAGAAATGGTTTGCAAGGAAACTGCTCAGCATCCTGAGCATGACCCCGTAATATTTATGATTTGCTGAGGCCTGAGTCTCTAGACCATGACTGCAAAAGGTTTTGCTGACCCACAGAATCTTAAGTTCTTCCTGTTTGCTGTGGTCAGAAAGTTTATGGATTTAGTTTAACATAAGAAGCCCAGAGACAAATCACGGCTGCGACCAACGGTTTCCATTTTTATTAAAATTTAGTTTGGTTCAAAATAATTTCTAGCCTCAATCTCATTTCCTTTAGGCTCTGACCTCTAGGAACATTTCGAAAATGATAGAGCTATTGTTCAACTGTTTGTGCTCTTCTGAAGCCATTTATATGGAAAAACACCAGTGTGAAATTGTTCAATTATAAGAAGCTGACTAGAGCTCTGCTCTAGCCTTATCAGAATTCCATGAAAACATTCCTAGCAGTGTCTGTTTTGATACAGATTAACATCCTAACTGGGCACCTTCTTTAATACCTTTCCTCCCATAACATTTTAAAAAGTGTAAGCAAGAAAGTTGTTTTGGCAAGCATCTTATGATGGCTCCACGGCTACTGGGAGCTCCAAGAACTCAAAAGAAATGCACTGTGCTCAGGAACAACAAAAAAGGGTAATTAATTGACTTTTGTGGGGAAATGGCAGTTTATAATCAAATAAATGTATAGGAACAGTTCTTCAAGTCGAAAGCATTTAGACTACCATCTATGAAAACAAGGCATTTAAAAGAGTTTTACTTAAGAATAAAAGTCAAAGAACTTTCCGAAGGGAATACCTGTAAAACTAGGACCCAGGACGATTCAACAGTCCTCCACGCCCCCCAAACAAGGGCAACTGCTGTCCTGACTTCTAACCTCACAGCTTCGTTGGCCTGTATTGGACCTGTCTGTAAAGGGAATCATAACGCAGGTCTCTTTTGTGCCTTCTTTCACTCAACATTACACTTATGAGGACTTACCAATTTTTAAAAAACATGTGTTGATGCCTTTCTGGATTTAATGCAAATTTCTAAGAGGACATGGTAAGAAATCTACAGAAACCCATCAGTTAGAAATCTCAAACACTGAGAAGAACACTGTCATTGCTACTTACTGTTACTGAATTAATCTTCCTACAAAATATCTGTATTTATTCTACAAGTACCGCACTCCACAAATCTGAAAGAGGCCACACAGAGCAGACAAAAATGGTTTGGTGTTAGGGATAGGGTCCTAGGCCAACAATCCAAGGACCTGAGTCTACTCACTTTATAACTTATAGTCAAGTGACCTTGCGGCTGGTTCCTGAATGCGGAGGCCCCTTGCTGTAAAATGGGAGTATCCTGCCTACCTTCCGTATCCCACTAGGGGTACTCTTAGGACCTCCTGAGATGACAGCTGTGGGAAAATATCATGGACATAAAGGAGGTGGTCATGTAAGTGGGACCGTACAAAAACAAAATCACTAATTGACAAGTATCCACTTTTTTTCTTTTATTGCAAGGAGACTATCAGTAATAAAGGCATTGTAGAAGTAAAAATATAAAAAATTATATAACTAGATGTCTTAGTATTTTTGACTTTATACTCTTAATACATAAAACATGTAAAATGATAATCTAGCTTCTTTTTCACCTAAGGAAACTATAAAATGTCTGTAATTAAATGACAATCATACTCAGTTTGAGTATATGTTATTGACATCTTCTTAATCATGATACTAAATTACACCATATCCATTCATGTTTGATCTGATACTGGTCACAACTCCTACAAGATCCTTGAAAGACAAAGGAAGTTTTGAGTCAGCCGCAGCAGCTAAGCCAGGCTGACATAAATCAATTACTTCTGCCCCTTTTGCAGTTGTGACACTCTTGTTAAGTTTGATTTATAATATATACTCTCTACTCTTACATTGCACCCACACACACACATCAATTAAAACTAATTTTATTTGACAATTTGTGTAAAGGTCACATGTCTGAGGTTGAATCTTAATCTCATAAATTAAAAGGTCACTCCAATTTTCTGATATATTTACACAGGAATAATTTTTCAGGCAACCTTGAAATATAACACAAATTTCAAAGGCCTTAAGAAGCAAATCCTAACCAAAAAGGTTTAAAAGAAAGAGAAGTAAAGCTTCAGCTGGTCGGAAAATAAATAGCACGGTGACATCCTGAAGAGAGGGTTCCCGTTTCCATGTGATGTCTGCCGAGAGACATGGAGGAGCTCTGTTCTGTGGTTTGCATGCATCTCAACGGTGCTCATCAGCCCTAGTAACCTACTTTTCTTTTAGTTGTCAGAATCGATAACTATCACAATGAAACAGTACTTCAGTTAGCCTCGTTGCCATGGACAATCACCAGGGACAGCTCCAGTGTGACAACTGACAAAGATCACCTATTTTATAAAGTGTTCCCTTCCTTTGCAAGAAAATTTCCCAGACAAGCAGAGTGCAGATAAAGTTATATGCAAAGTGACTTGTTATAGTGCCACAATCTACTAAAGAAAATTACAAAACCAGGATGGTATGACTTCCAAAATGACCTGACTCCCATCCCTCCTGGTATTTATAAATAGAGGGGGAACACAGGGAAAACCTCCTGCATCCCAGTGGCAGAACACACCACAATCACTCCACTAAGACAGACACTGAAACGCTCTATGTTACTACGTTAGCCTCTGAACTGGTGTCCGCGCTCCTGCCCTTATTGACCACCCGTCCTTACTCCCCCCCTCCAACAGTGTATTTTTCCACCTTGCTGCCAGAGCGGTCCTTTCAAAATGTAAGTCAGATCATGTTGCTCCTCTTCTCAAACCCTCCAACATTCTTACTATGACCTACAAAACTCTACATGATCTACAAACTGGTCCATGGCCAACGACAGCCTCATCTCCAACGATTCTACCCCTAGTTTATTCCACTGTCCTCCGTGAAGTTCCTTGTACATATCACACACACTACTGCCTCGGGGCCTCTGCACCTGCTGTTCTCAGTACCCGAAATGCTCTTCCCTTAGACGGCCACACAAATAGGACCTTCTTATTCTTCAGGTGCTTAGTTTAGTCAAGAGTCCCCTTCCTGTTGAGGTCTGAGCTGTTCACCTTACCTAAAGTTTTAACTCCTTCCTAAGATTTTATATCTCGCTTCTCGGCTCTCTATTTTCTCTTTAGTACATATCACCAGTAAACACATATTTTAGTTCTTTATCTTGTCTCTCCCACGAGACTGTAAATTCCAGGAGGCTTCAAATCAGAATTGTGCAGAGAACTATATCAGAATTTTAGCTAAAAAAGGCATCACTATCTAGTAAATGATTTCTACATGCCTTTTCCTGGCTACAGGCTTTAAAAGAACTGGTACCTCACTTAATTTTCACAGCATTAGCCTTGCTTTACAAATAAAGAAATGGACTAAAGTAACTTTACTTTGGGAAAATTCACAAGTGGAATTAGAACCTAGACCCGACTCCAAAGTCCCTCTGTTAAACAGTGTAAAATTACAGCTTGGCAATATTTACAATAAACTAAGTTTTCTGATCTAAAAAATATGTCCATCTACATCTCTAAATAAGAACAAAACTTACACCTGAAATTAATATAATATTGTATGTCAACTATAATTTAAAAATTAGAAATTATTTAAAGTTAAAAGAAAACAAACCAAAAAGAGAAAAACCTTTTGGAAAATCTATAAAAGCCAGCAGTGTGGTGTCGTGGCTGGAACACTATAATCTGGAGTAAAAACATTAAGGATCAGCATCCTTGTTCTGTCGTTTACTAGTTGTAGGTTTTGAGCGTCTCCAGCTTCCTGTGTTGAAAAGAGCAACTGCAAGAGCAAAACCATGTTTCATGTTAATGGAAACCCTCAGGATAGGGTGAATTATCTTTTTTAAGCACTGAGTTTAAAGTTGTTTTGCTCTCAGAACTTAAATGCAGTTTTTAAAGCTGTTAATTGGTCAATAATGTTCACCAACAGTCCATACTCTGGTCCTGGAAGGAATGTAGAATCACAACTGAAACTTAAGAAACTGCAATTCCTCATGTCAAATTACTTAATTCAGACAGGGAGATCACCGGCCACACCAGGAGTTGTTTTGTAGATTCAGATGCTGGAAGACCTGCATTTAAGAGACTAAATCCTGTCTGGAAACCAGACAACCTCCCACCAGATGGACAGTGGAGGCTGAAATACAGTCTCTTTGGCAAATGGCCAAGTTACCAAAAAGTGGGCTTAACTGTGAAACACAGATTAGTCCGGGCTTTTACAAAAAATCTGCTATGCTTTTAAAAATTGGAAAATATAATTACAAACAGCTAAATTTAGCATTCGTTTAGCATGTGTTACATAAGAACAGACGTTGAACAGATGAAACGACATAGAGCACTATTGAAGAGGTTGAAGAGGACACCAACATACATTCTAGTCCTTTCTGCAGGACACTTACCCAGTCTTGGTGACTTTTTCTCCCAAAATTAAATGTTTTGGGTTGACTCTTGGTTTTCAGGATTCTAGGTAGTTTTATAAGATGTCAAAACTATTTATAAGTTGTCAAAACTATAGCAATCTTTCTTAGCTATGTACACTGCTTCTACCTTCAATATACTTAGACCTGAGAGATCCTGACTTAATTTTTTCTCTCCTATTTCTTCCCCCAACCCAGCTCCAACAACAACAACAACAACAACAAAAAACAGGTGTGGTGGACATGGACCACACAAAAGCACAGTTCACAGCCCATCCAGCAACTCCACGATGATGGCCGGGAGGTGGTTTTCATACCCACATTATTAAATAACTAACTGCACCTTCTCTTATTCAGTACCTGGGTCCCTTTATCAAGGGCTCTACACTTTCTTACCATGCACTGAATTA